AGAATGTTTCAAACTAAAAGACCAATGTTGACATCTTCATTCCCAATGCCCTGCTTATCTTCATATACAGTCAAAGAATAGGGAACTATCACAGTGAAATCAGTGGTGAAAATTACATGCGTTGGTTGAAAGAGCATTTAATTCCAAATATGGAGCTCAATTCTATAATTGAATTGATAATTCCCTATAACATAACATACAGAAGGACAATGCCCTACCATCAAATTCAAATAAGGAAACTATGAAGACTGAAGACTGATTGTGTATGAGAAACATTCCAATTTGTGGCTTGGTGTTAAAGTTACAGTTTTATGAAATAATAAAAGCTTACTCACTCTTCTTTGTTGTTGAACATAATAGCTGTTAGTGGTCATATGGTGTTGAAACTGCCACCTTATCACCCTGATCTCAACCCCATAGAATTAATCTGGGTGGACATGAAGCAATGAGTTGGTGCAAATAATACATTTAGGACGAATGGTGTTAAAACGTCTATTAACAGACAACGGAATGAGCAGCAGCAGCAGTGACAGTGAATCTGAATAATATGAGGGTAGAATATCAGGGGTAGAAGAATTAGAAGATGATTAGAGTTATGTACATGTGATTATTATGATCAAACACTGAATTCTTGTTTTAAAAAATTGCTTTTAAAGATTATCATTACTTGCTATAGAAGTATAAATTAGGTCCAGTTTTCTTTGTCTGGACTGTACATTCTGGAGGCAGGAAAAAAAGGCATTTTACAACTGACTTGCTTCTGGCCTTCCTCTTGAATATTTCTCTGGCCAGAAAGTATTGCAACCACTGTCTCAGCTGTTTTAAACCCTAGGGAAACTGTGCCTCTCATAAAGTGTGATATCAGATAGTTATTATGGCTACTGATAGATTATAGCATCATCTTTTCATGTGAAAGATGGAACAAACGGACATGGCAGGAAGACATTCTTTGAAAATGGCCATCTTCTGGGTTGTAGCACCATGTAGTATGGTAGAAGTTTGTCAGTGATAATGGAGGCAGCAAGGATCTCAAACATTGGTAAACTCTTACTGGACTACAACCCGGAAGACGGCCATCTTCGTACTCCCTGCCATGAGTGCCATAACTCCTACCAAGGCATTCTTTGCTGAAAAGAAAATATTCAAGAACCCTCACATACGTATAGCTTATTAAACATGCAGTGGCATACATAACCCCCAGAGAATGTAAATCATTGGAGTGTACTCTGTTCCACTCTGTTGACTTCATATTCATATTGGTTAAGTTACCTTGAGCTGATATGGGTTCTGTTTGTTTCCAGACATCCTGCAGGCACTATGGGGGTGACAGGCTTGTGTGTCCAGTCTGTGGGGTGATGGTCAAGCCAGAAACTGAGTTCATCCCACTTGAGAAGTTGGGTGATTACAAGCCAACTGTCAGGTGAATATCAAACTCAGTATGAGGGAGATGGAATTTTAGCACGAGCCCACAGAACACTTTCTGACTATACATTTTTCCTAAATTAGGAAAAAGGTTAAAGTGAAAATGTTGATGTGCCAAAAAATACTGTGCATACATACCAAATGAAAGCCCCACTTATGAGCTTTCAACTGGTATAAGAATGAAGTATCTATCTTAATTAGGTCAAAATATGGAAACAGGAATGAGAAATTAGTAAGTAATAAATATATATTTACTCATTACACTCTGTAGGCCTGCAAAATTTAATTGAAATTCTAGGTGGTCATGCCAAACTGCTGTGTTGATGTGATGTGGAATGACCCTGTTGTAAAATGAAATTGTTGAGAGAAACCATGTTATTGTAAATGTAGGACTAACTGTAGTTGATACGAAGTGTGTAGATTGATTTTGAATAGAGACATGCAAGAAGGCAAGCATTAAAAGATATATGTTTGTTATTTGCAGGTTGTTAAATGTCCCTGTAGTGTTCCGACTGGACAGTGAAGGCGATGGAAACAACAACAAGAAGGTGATGAAATTGTTTGGACATCCAAACCTGGTTCGTCTGCCAAACCGAATACAAGGGCAAAATCTTTATGCAGCTGTGGATCGTCTAGTCCCCTATGTGGTGCCGTACTCCATTCTTCTGGTCGATGGGCAGGTCTGTCCTAAAATTTGTGTGCTTGTTTCATTTCTGCCTGCAGAACAGGAAATATACATGGACAACACTTAAATGAGCTAGCCAGCAATTTGAAGTGCATGTATATTTTTATCTATGATACCCACAAATCTAAAATTTGTGTCAATTCAATTCAATTAATTTATTTACGTGTTTGCCAACAGCAAGAAGCCAATAACAGGCAAACACTGATAATATATACAATAATAGTGAAATAAAAATTAACCCCCTTACACAAACTGATAAACTAAACTTATAAATAAACAGTATTAAATATAACTGCCAAGTACAGGCAAACCCAAAATAGAAACAATATTAACACAGAGCAAAAAATGAAGGAATATAAATAAAAACAAATAGTCCACCTAGGGAACACTAATATAATTGTAAAACTTTAAAAAATATAAAAAGACAGATAACCAAGCTAGATCATTTCCCTTGTTGAGAACGTTTGCTCAACAATAATATTAATGATTTCTAGAGTTTTTATAAGCAAGATGGTGCACCATCTCATCACAGTGAAGGACATGTGTTTGTCAGATCACAGGTCACTGATGTAAGTCTCTTAATGTCTTGTTGAAGATTTTCGTTCTACTGAATAAAGAAGGACAAGGCTTGAAAGCAAGTCATATTTATGAAAGAATGACAGTTCAGTTTAGCGATAACTGTATGAGCCAGGGAGCAATTCATGTGTGGATGGGAAGATTTTAAGGAGGACAGAGAAGTGTCGATCATGCATATTGTGTGAAGCCATTGACTATAACTTGTTGAATGTAAAGAGAAGTTAATATATTCAGGACAACCAAAGAATCAGCATGAATGAAATTTAATCTGAAATAAGCATCAGCCATACTTACGCCTATCAGTAATTCGTGGTGTGCCTTCAAAATGTTTGACTCTCAGACATCAGTGGCAAAAATAATGGGATTCATTGATCGTCCTGTATTGGCTCATCTTCAGGAGAGAGGAACATCAGTCTAGAGAGTGACAGAGCAATGCAAACGTCTTGTGACGCCCTGGCATTTAAATTCCCGGTCTGCTGTTAAGCCTAATTTCAAAAGCCCATAATTATGGAAATAATAACGACTGATATATGATGTTTGTAGTTGATCTGGTGTGGAAGAAATGCTCTTTCTGATCATGTATTGGCAACGTCGCATTCTTCGATCTCTAAAGGCTAGTCTGTGAATAAATGCGTGACCTAAGAGGTTACACAATCTTCCAAAGAACACTGAGCTGTTTGTTTGTAGAGGTAAGATAACTCATTCTCTCAGTCTCATATGACACGATAACTGCTCCAGCGAAGTAGAGAGGAAAAAAAATTATCTGAAACGGTCAAGGGGCTCCATAATATATATATATAGATATACCGTTATGTTTATCTGTGTCTTCAAATATCAACAATTTTAGCACCCCTATACTCAGAAGTCTATAATCAGAAGAGTTCTTAGAAAGAGACGGTTATAACTGCTAAGTATGATGCATATATGTGGCCTTCAGTTCGCTGTCAGAATATCAGCTGGCGCAGACATATTTACTCCCGCGTATTATTGACACAGGAAAGAAATTCAATGCCTCAAAGACATTGCGTCATGTGCAGGAACCGCTAGAAAAAGATAAAAACTATGTATTTTGGTAGTGTTGACTTTTGCTGACGTTTCAATAAATAACATACAACTCTCAACGTCTAATCGACTACTAGCATTTGTCACACACAGGATGTTCATATTATACGCTGAAATTATAAAACCATCTTTTAAGAGGATTTCAGTGAAGAATTGATAATTATATGTTATATAGTTCAAACGTTATGATAAATAAAGTGTTTTAGAGCAAAATTTAAATGGCCACCACTCCTCGCCAAGCAGCGCGGAATTTAAATTCCCACGTTGAAGGGTTAATATTCTGCTTCCTACTTTCTAAAGAAAACGTGGTCCATGAAAATGCTGTCTCTCATACAGCTGTTCATATGTGTCAACAAGTTACAACATGAATTATAAGTTCTCCAACATCCACTGTTCAATGTATAATACTGACTTTGCACCAAGTGATTTTCACTTTTCTCTTTCTTTCATGAAGGAAGATGCTTGACTCAACTTTCCCCATCTTATTGATCATATTGTGTTGCCTGACTGCTTAGCTTTGTTTAGCCAAACTGACGTACCGGCTTATGACCAGGATGGGCCTGTCTACAATTTAATTACTTTTCAGGAATCAAGAAAAATTTATTCATTCATCTGTGTCTTACATGAATATTTGTATGTACTTCATTCATGTAGTCATTTTATGGCCTCTTTTTCCTACTTGTAGTGAGGAAGAGCTTACCTTTTAGTTTTGGCAGGGACACTAGTTGTTGCAGTTTAATTCAGTCTTTCCAGGCTCTTTAAATTGTCTAAAGTGGGTCTTTTACATGAAGTAACAGCATAAGTGTGACAACTGATGTTTGTGCAGGGCTATCACTGTTCACGCTGCATGTACACAGTGCATTGCCGTGGTTGCCACGTCGCACCAGAAGGAGAGCTTCTGCTACAGACTGGGGACACGCTGGCAGTGCGGTTCTCCGAACCGGTCGACCACATGGACCTGGCGATCGAACACCCCAGCATGAAGCTCATGCGTCGCCAGGATCCCCTGTCACTGTATGACTGCCTTCAGGCTTTTAGTGAAAGGTATTTTTTTCTCTTAAAGGATAAGTTTTATCGATTTTGTTAAAGTGAACTGAATTTCCACAGAATACATAATAAAGCATGTTCCCCATTCTATGCAGGTTGTCCCACAAAACATCTGCCAAACTTTTGGTGATTATTCATTGGCTTATTTTGAGTAAAAGGAAGTCAAATTAATCTTAGCCATTGTGTAGTTATCTGATCCTTGTGTCCCCCACCACCCTCTCATATCGCTTTCTACACTTAACATTTAAATTAACATTCATTGTCACTGTTCTGAGTGAACACTGAACTGCTTCCAACTAATATTCATATCTGCAGCAAATGGCCATTTCTTCCTGCTAGTTAGCAATTGCAACAATGACCCTACCTGTACTTTGACAGTGGACTCACCTGAGCCATGCGTACACACCCACCAGCTGGTACGTAATTCAGTTGTGGAAAAAGATTGTTTGTTGTGTGTCTGACTGTTTCATGAGAAGTAGTGCCTATGTCATGAGTGACAATAAATACACAGATCACAAATGAAGAGTACACAAGACTTTTCTTTCATGTACATATTGGGAGATAGGAATGTGAGGGTAGTGGTTCAAGTGCCATATAGGCATCAGTTTCCCTATCATTGCACCCAAGCAGAGTGGTGTTCAGCAGCATACTTAGTGGTTACAAAAGACAGGCTCATTCACCACAAGTACCAAGTAGCATTGCGTTCATGACCAAGAAGAGATGGTGCAAGAGAGAGCAAGTATTTGCCAAATTGCCTGTTTAGTGCACACACACCAGTTACAGGTATGGTGAACTTTGCATCAGGAAACTCCCTATGCATACCACTGCCAATATGTGCTGTTTCCCTAATGTGAGAACTACATAGCTAAGTCGATTCCTGTCATTGGATTTTGGAACAGTGTTGGGTTTTGAAACATGTTTTCTTGTGTGATAGACCCAATTTATGCTAGATGAGATAATCAACTGCCATAAGATCCATATATGTGCCCCCCCCCCAGGAATCAACACCATTCTACTGTAAGCAACATCCAACAGTACATTTTGGTATATCTGTGGTGTGGTCTTATTGGTGGTCTGTTAATTGGACTGTTTGTTCTTGAGGGACATTTAACAGCAGTCTACTTACTAGATGCATTTCCTACAGGATAAGTTACCACTTTTTTTGAGATAATTTTCTTCAGGCCGGATTAAACGTGTGGCTGCAACATGACTAAATTCCACCTCATTTCAGTCTACAAGTTACACGGTACTTGAACTGGTGCTTTTGAAATCATTTGATTAATTATGTAGGTTTGTTTACCTGGCCTTTCCATTTTCCAGACTTGTCACTCCTTGATTATTACTTGTGGGGATACATGAAGGACCTTCCTACAGCAGAGAAATGTGCTGTTTCAAAATCAGTTCACTTTTCCTTAGCCAGTATAGGAGGTAATTTTAAACATCAGGCCACTTAAGCACATGAAATATGACATGTTTTGTGGGACATCCAGTATATTCCAAAACTTTTGGCTTTAATTTATGTACTAACTTAATGGTACAAGTTGTTTATGGAGCAGCTGGTCAACAAATTCTTTTCTTTGACAGAACCCAAAGGTTCATCTCTGTCTTCACAAAAGTCGACCATTGGACCCTATCCTGTGAGTCAATTCTTGTCAGGGTGTGGACGACACATTTACACCTTGACCAACTATTTCTCCAGGATTCATTTTAATGTCATCCTCCATCTTTGTCTCATCTTGCCAAGTGATGTTCTTTCTTGGTGGTTTCTTAGAAGGATTTTGTAAGGTTTCTCGTTTCCCCCCTGCATGCTAATTGCCTCACCTTTCTCATTCTGCTTTTTGTTGTACAATATTAAGTGAAGAAAGGCTCCTCTTAATTTTTTTCTTTATTCTTCTCTTACTTGATGTATTTTATGCCCAGGATTCTTTATAGCATTCTATCACTGTTATATGGAAGCTGTCCATAGTGTCCAAGAAGAATGTTAGTAGCTTTATTTGTTAATAAACATATTTACTCCATAAACATAACTTTTTTTCATAGTACATTAGAGCAACAAATGTGTAAAGTTGGAAGTGGCTTTGATATGTGTGTCCTTCAAGAATGTGTGATAATTTCTGATGAAAGCACAGAAGAAGATTACGTTTTAGGCCAAACAGAGCCCTTTCCACGTTCAAAATGTTTTCTTCGTCACGTTCACTAATATTATGCGCATAAAAGAACGACTTCACTTTTGCCAATGCAGCGTGTGCTTCGGCAAAACTCGGCAAAGCTTCGGGCTCGCATTCGTCGTCTTCTTCTTCCTCACCACTCCAACCCCCTTTGCGGACAATAACAGGAAGAATGGAAATACTATTACTGCGGAACTCAACGAAACGTAGCTGTAGAAGACACGATATGAACCAGAAGAATGAAAAAGTTTCGCTCGCCTTTCCTTTGTACTTATAATAAAAGCATTTGTGAAGAAATTCACACTGCACATGCCATCTGGCATCGCTGGAACGAAATATGAGTGCACCCAAATTAAAATCGTAAAATTTCTGACAATGGGCACTGCCATTCACTCCAACTATCACCCCTGCACCGCTGACCCCTCATTCCAAAAGAATCTGTGCTGGTTGGGCGACATAACAGGTTACCGCTACTGTTTATTCCAAAAACATTGTGCGTCTTTCGGTATTAATTTATCTCTAAACCCAGCATTTTAAATTCTCAGAAACGATCATTGCGGGAAAATTGTGGGCCGGGACTAAGATTTTTGAACGATCGATGCGATAAAACGATAGTTCGAGGAACGATAGAAGCGGGAAAATGTAACATTATTTTATATGGGATGTATTCGGGACCGAACAAAACGGGCGATGTATCCGGGAAAACGATAGTTCCGGGAACGATGGATAGAGGTTTCACTGTAATTGTGTTGTAGTTATCTCAGGACAAAGCAGTTTTCTTGGTGTATATGTGTGTGTGTGTGTGTGTGTGTGTATATATATATATATATATATATAATAAATGGTGTTAAGTGATACTGCTGTTTATGAGTGGTGTCAGCATTTTTCAGATGTGGGAAATGTTGAAAAGGGCATGTTACAAGATTATGTTGAATGCATCAGGCAATAATTTCCCTGCAGTCTGAAGAATTCCATCTGAAAAGTCAACATTCTAATAAACATTTTAATGTTCTGCATAAATAACTGAACCCTAAGTCATAAATTTAAGGCAGAAAAGACCTGCACATTGTAACTAAGCATATTTGAAATCCTGGATATGTCTGTGTTTCCCTGTTCAGAATATGATCATCTCAGGTGTTTACTTCTAATGCCAAGGAATGTTATGTTTCTGCAGACAGTAGAAGTAACCAGCCTCATTTTCTAACAGGACATTGTACACAGAGCTCTGAGTGTCCAGTTTCCTGATTGGTGGATTTAAATGGGAGGACTGATTCCATTTATAATTTATCTCCATTAACTTCTCTGTCTGGCATAGTATTAAGAATATTATTTACAGTGAAGAGTGATCAGTGTTGCAGACTTGCAGAGAAGAATTAAAGTCACAATCTTGTGAATACATATTCTCGTTAATGAACTTTATTGTAAATAACCAAGAACTCTTTCAAACTAATTCTGCTGTACACAGTGTCAACACAAGGAATAAAAATCAGCTTCATAGACCAATTGCCAACCTCTCATGTTTTCAGAAGAGTGCATATTATGCAGGAATCAAACTTTTCAACAGTCAACCATCAAATCTCACAAGTCTTGTAAATAAGAAGGAGCAATTTAAAGTAGCATTAAAAAGATACTTCATTACACACTCCTTTTACTCTGTTGATGAATTTATGTTGTTTACAAATAAGTGATAAATTTTTTTCTGTGTGTAATGGGTAGATCTATTTGTAACTTATCATTTCTCTAGGTGAACCCTTTGTTTGTATTATGTGAAATTTATATAATAGTATGAATTGTACTTTATAATATGTATTGTATTATTATTATGACTTTTCCCACATTCTATTGTCATCTGACTGTCTTATGGGTCCATGGAATGTAAATAAATTATTATTATTGGCCACGTGTGGAGTATTAAATTGACATATGCAGGTGGTGCTCATATTGAATAGTACTGAATTACAGCTATTCTAGAATATATTTGCTACTATACTGTGAAGTGAGAGGCCTTTTATATTAGTGGTGCACATGTGTGTTAATAAGTTAAACTCTGACATTCTTTCATAGACACTATTAACAAAAAAAACTATATTTGCTTTGAGACCAGAATATTGCCAGGTCAGAGGTTAAGACCCTAACTTACGACTGAAGGTATAATAATGTGCTTTTGTGCACCATATACATTGCTGATACATGAGTATGGAACATTGGTGGAATGAAGAAATCAGAGAAAACCGTACACCATTGCCACTTTTTTCACTATGATTGTTACTTAAAGTCTCTGTATTGATCCCAGGTCTCCAAGCTGAAAAGCCATTTGAGGTATAGCATGGCATCACTCTGAATAACTTTAGCCTAATTATTGTTTGTGTGTGTGACCTAGAACTTTCTTTGTTATATAAAGATTTACATTAATTTATCTTAGAAACAAGTTAACCTTTGACCCTTTGATTAATTTTGTATGCACAGTGAGCAACTGGATGAACACAACCCTTGGTACTGCCCAATGTGTCAAAAGAATCAGTGTGCCACCAAGACCCTCTCAGTTTGGAGGTATCCAGACTTCCTTATCGTCTACCTTAAGAGGTAATGCAGTTTTATTTCATTCTAGTTTTATGGAGAGAAGCTGAACATGTGTGACTTGTGGAAAAAACCAGTCCCATTGCCAGTTCCTCTACATTTATTTGTAATCTAATGATGTCCTCAAAGAAGTGTTAATAATTAAGAACAAATTGAAAATGTTAAAGATACCTTCCACTGATGCATATTAACTAATTTACAGAGAGTGGGCAAGTATTTCACAAATACTTATCAGCCGTCGTCATAAGTTTCATTGTACAGCAAAATAATTATATGTTTGTGCCGTTTTTCAGATTCATTTTCCATGAGTGTGTGAGTGTTAAACTGGATAACAAAGTGACCTTTCCACTGATGGGTCTGAGTGTGACACCCCCTTCTCTTCTGCAGCATGGGACGCCGCATCCATATAATTTGTATGCGTGTGTTTGCCATTATGGAGGTAGGAACTCATCATAATATTGTCGGGTATTGATCATTTTCCATCAGAATTGATCCAATAAAGAGGTGATGAATTATATTCTAAGATTTACAGACTACTAATTGTACTTGGAATAAGGAAGAATTGCCAGAGCATATTCATGAGAAAGGTGATGAAATGATCTGTAGTAATTATAAAGGAATATCAGTGTTATCAACTACATAATGAACTTTTATCCATTATATTTTTAAAGTTAACTCCTCATATAGATAAAATTTTGGGGGTTTTCCTGTGTGAATTTCTCTCAGCTACTGATCACAATTCTGCATTCATCAGATACTGCAGAAATAAATGAGAGTATGAAGGAAGAGTACATCAGCTGTTTATATACTTGAAGAATGCCTATAGGATCCAGCAGAAAATACCAGCTACTATCATTTGCATATATAAAGTGACTCATTAACACATTAACATTTCACATAAATCTTGGAAATAGGTTTGATATTTATAATGGTCACTTTTTGAAAACAGAATGCAGTAAATGCTCCCCTTTCTCAGTGACACATTCTTGGAGGCACTTGGCAAAATCATCCATCATGCATTGTAACACATCATGAATTACTTCTCCATTATTGTCCTGAGTTCATCAAAAGTGGCAGGCCATGTCTTGAATATGGAACTTTTCAGATAGCTCTTCAACACACAGTCCGGAGACTGAGAAATCAGGAGATCTTTGAGGCCAGTTTAAATTACAAAAACATTGATGTAGATACATTTTGTGCAGCTTCTCCATATTCATTTGAGCAGCATGTGATGTGGCATCATCTTGCTGGAACCACAGTGTCACGTGTGTTTCCAACCAAACTCCTATGCATGCATTGTGCACCTATGGCCTTGAAAATCTCTTCATATTGTATACTACTCATCATAAAATGATACGTATTCTCTGCAGGACCCTGTGTAATGAAAGTGCCTTTTAAGTGTGTCCCATTGAAAGTGTTGTCCAAGCCCACTGCCATCTGGCTGATATTCACGTCTAAGCATCGTTGGTTGAGTAGTTTGTTATTTGTGTGTGTGTGTGGGCGCGTACATGTAGCGGGCATGTGTGTACAGAGCTTACAATTATTTCATCAGGAATAATTGAGCTAAAAATTTATGTTTGTTTACAATATGTATTATCCAAAGAATATTTTATGCAGGTTCCTCAGCAGGTCACTACACCTCATATGCAAAGAACCCACACACATCTGAGTGGCATTATTTCAATGATGATGTAGTCGCAAAACAGAAACCCCAGGAGGAAGATTACAGCAATGCCTACATATTGTTCTATCAGAAGCAGGGTAAGTTATGAGCTGTTATAGAAAGTCAGGAATCCTGGCATGTAGCATTTTCACCTTTATAAAATTTAGTAATTATGATTGCTTCCCACACCATCTGTTACTTATGTTTAACAATTACAAAATAAGTTATGCTTGGATCCATTTTTTAAGTTTATCTCACTGTGAGGCCTCTCACATGTTAGGATGATGATTCGTGAGAGGGTAAACAGAGTTATCGACACAGCAGTGCCAGACGGTACTGTGCACAATACAGCAGTGTAGATAGGCAGACCTCGCTAGCCAGCCATCATAGTTAAATGGTGACTGTGACTAGTGTCATCTGGTGCTCATCTAATGGTCTCTTTGCATATGATATTTTCATATGCATTGCCACTCTGCATTAGTCAATGTTATGTACAGCCATGCAGTGTCTGTATGACCACTAATTATGCTCTCCAGCTGCTTTTTCGGTCAAATTCCATCATGTAACTTGAAAATAAGGATTTGCAGACCCATGTTTATATGAAATTATATAATTGCTTTTCGTCCTACAATTCATTAATAAAAGTTTCTACTTCTATTGTCAAATCACTCTGTCTAAGATTAGATAATAATTATTCAGATCTCTGTTTATCTCAGTCTCTTTGTAAGTTACTGTTCAGAGTCAGATGTTCAAGTTGGTGTGCTATAGTTAAGTTAGTTACAAAACTATACAAGGGGTGGTGTTCTTTTTTAAGATGTGGCGCAATAGAAAGTACATCTGGCGCTTACATGGGAAATGGGCCTTTAATAAAGAAGGTATGTGTGATTTATGTTTGTCATGCTCTGTATGTATGCTCCATATGGAAGAAAACTGAACAAAATTATGAGAATTGCTCATATCCATGAGTGTTTTTTTCTGTGAAATAATCAATTTTAAAACAAAAGGTTATGATACAGATTTTACATTTATCATGCACTTAAAAGAAATATTGTGACTTGTTTCCTTGTTTTAAAATGAGTGCAAATTATGGGGATAAATCTAGAAGAAACCTTAATTTCCTTTTTTATTGTCTAGGAGTGTCATTTGATCTGAGCATACCCAAGCCGTTTATGGGTGAAGGAAGCCCGAAACCAAACATAGAACAGCTTATTCTGGATCTGGACTCTTCTGTTGAGCAAGACTGGCAGGAAGAAAACATGGCTCAAGGTTCAGTCAGCTAAAGACTGCTCACTTCAGAATAGAATTGTAGTTTTGATGTAGAAACGTTGATATGGTCATTGAGTCGAGAGTGCCGTGAGTGTCAGGTTGATTGCAGTGCCTCACTCATACTGTACCTTGTAATGTGAGTGTTAGAGCAGCAGCCGTCATGAGAAGACAAAAGATTCCATTCATATAGTTCATCTTCTACGTTGCGATTTCAAGGCTGTGCTGTTGCATTTTTGAGAATGCAGTGCAACCATATAATAAAAATTATTATACTGATTTGTGTCCCCTTATTTATCTTCCTTTGTTCCTATTATCATGTGGGATGATTGCAAAAGTGCCACCATTGTTTATTGTAATTATTTGTATGGAACTTTACTCATTTGAAGGTGGTGGTTTAATGTTTATTACAGAAAAGAATAGATATTAGAAGTATATGCAATGGAATCCTTGTTAATTGTTATTGCTGTAAAGTGTTATGTTATCCAGAGTTCAGTATCTTTTGTTCCATTACCTTAGTTTCCTGTTAAAATCCATTGTCCCCTAGAAGAAATTACTGTACTGCCTTCCAACACTTACTTTCACCAGACATAAGGACTGGACAGTAATAGTAAATTGAAAAAAAGAAACATAAATGACATCTTGTGGGCAGTTGTATCAACAGAATAAAATGTGCCCTACGAAACGTCTGCAAACTATTTATTACACCAAACACAGTGACTGGACATCAATAGTTTTAACATGTGTGACAATGTGAGTAATTTCCTCTGCAGAACCCAGATGTGTGCTAGCAGATCTCCTCATTACCAATTATTCATTTCACCAGATACAATAATTGGACTAATAATGTATTCAGTGTCTTGGATAAATTCATATACAGAACCAAAACATCCCCTGAAAGACCCACAATATCAAATTATTTTTTTCACATCTTTTCCATACATTTACTCATGTATTGTTTTGAATAGAATAACGATAAGTTGTTCTTGGCCTGTCTCTGACATGATTTGGTTGGTTATAATAACTCACACACATGGCCTTGAGTGTTTCTGTGCATGCTTCTTGCATAGTCTGCTGACAGTGGTTGTTGGTAATACATTAGCATTTGATTCATTTCTGTATGATTGACACATTACTGCTGCTGCTCTTTGTGTGGGGAGTACTAAACCTGTGGAAAGCTTTAATTATTATTTATATGGTTTGTGTCCAGTGTTTTGACATTTTTACTGTGATGCGACTTTCATTGCCAACACGTGGCACTGTCTTTTTGTACTGTATCCAGCCCATGGCAGTACAGCCTTTGTCTTTGGATCCAAGACTGGTGTAATGTAGTGCTAGGTCTGTCCACTTATCGTTGTTACAGTTTAATGAAATTTAATGTGAGAGGCTACTAACAAAAACTTAACAGTCATGTATGAATTTACATTATATTGAATTTTATTTGAAGGGCTGAATGAATTGTTAAGATTATTTAGTTAAGTATCTTGTAAAAATGTGCATACAGGTTAATATTGTCTTTTTATGCTAAAACTGATTGGGTAAATTTAATTTTGATGCACACTGGATGATTTGATTTGCATGTTTCATTGTTGAAATTTAATTTTAAAGCTTGTGATGATGAGGTTACTTTGCAGTACTGGAGATACTTTGTTATGAATGTTCTTCACTAAAAACATAGGCAAGAGGGAGTTGGTGTTGTTCCTAGAGAGAATCTTCTTCTGTTCTCTCAGGGTGTGAATAAGAGGTTTCCATGACCTGCTTGAGGAGACGTATCTTCTCTGTTCATGTTATTAGGATGAAGCTCAGTATGTCATGCTTCCCTGATGACCGTTTCCATGAGTCTGGGATACTAGTATCATTTAGCAGGATACAGTGGCCTGGGTTGATGCTATGTTCAGCCACAGTCAACTTCTCGGGGTGAAAGAGGTATGTGTGGATGGCCTGTTTGTGCAATGGAGACCACCCCATACTCACAGGTGATGCTCTGTATGCTGAAATTTTGAAGGGTGGGGCAAATTTAACCTTTTAAGTACAGATTGTATAAAAGAGATGGTTAGTGTTAAATGCAAATCAGCTAGCATCAGAATGCAGTGGATCAAGAAGTAAATTGTGCTTCCTGCATTTTCTTGCTACAAGCTCCAAATTATTCTTTCTCATCTCCCATTTTTGCCTTTATAGCGTCCATTCCTTCCTATCCCTTGCTATGAAATTCCTATGCATTAAACTTTTCCCCCTTACCTGTCCTATTTCTCTAATAGTATCCAAGTATCTCTTTCTAGGTCTTCCTCTTGTTCTGGTACCCTCAATTCTAGCTACAAGCTCCAAATAAATACCAGAATGTTGAGAATGAATTGGTTAGCCTGTGTACATTTTTGAAGAAATTGCCTTTGCGTAAGTAACTTAATATGTCATATTCATATGCAGTAATTTGATCTGTATTTTTTTTATTTCTTGGAAATGTCTCTAGCCTTTCCGAAAATGTGCAGAGTTCAAACTTGGCTTAAAAAGAGCACAAAATTGTTAAGACATAATTAGAAACGTCTGGGTTGTATCACAATGCACTTGTGGGAAAATGGAAGTTTTATTGTAGACACATCTCAGTTGCAGGAAATTTAAACACTTCTTTTGTAAAAGATTTAGAGGTCACTTAAAACATTTTTATCAAACCAGTCACTTGCATCAGTTTTTTAATCACTTAATGCAAGAAAATAACTGTTTCCAAATACTGCAAATCCTAGAGTGCCTAAAATTGTAAAATACTCTACAGTATTGCTTTTTTAATAATAAGTAGGTTCATCAACACAACTTGACTGTATTTTTATCGTTTTTACTACCTGTCATATTTGAGATTTTCACGTGATGATAATGATAATCTGGGTTTTGACACCATGTGGAGTTGTTGATAGATGCCAGCATTTTGGAGAACTATATGAAGCCGTGAAGATGGAGACTGTATTACATTTGTATCCACCATTGAGTTTACATGGTGCCAAAATGTAGAACATGATATAAGCTACATGTTACAGCCCCTCATGCCTTGTTCAGTTGTTTATTTAAAATATACGTAAAACATTAGACCTGCATATTCATAGCAGTTTAATTTTCTAAGTATGGATCCAGAAACTTGGGTTTCCATAAAGTGGTTAAAATTATTAATCTGATATGTTTTACACACATCTTCATTGCCTAATTAAAATAGTAAATAATTTTTAAAATGAAATAATACAGGTTTATTTCAGACCTGTATTCTTACTGCTGGATGTTATTGCAGTATTTTGTTGTTACATTTTTCTATTATTTCAGTTCTTGCTTCTTATTTCTTATGGTGCTGATTTCTTCTTGGTGAATTATTACTACTTACAGTATGCTAGCTTTATGTTGATGTATTCCTCATGCCCTATTATGCTGAAATAAGTACATGTATGAGTTAATATATAAAATTATGTTGTATTTTAATGTGCATGGTATCTACTTGTGTTGATGTGGTGTGTTTAGTTTGGTACTCTACATTTGCACGTGTTTTTATGTCCTGGAATAAAAATATGTATTAATAGTACTTGAATATGTTTTTAAAAGTATATTATATTTTACAAATGGTTGATCTTACGATTTTTATGCGAACGGTTGCAACCTTGGCCAGTGTGTTCAAGCATCTGCGCAGTTGTAGTAGCAGTATGTTGTTTGCTATGAATTGACTCTCACTTGTTCCACAGCAAGAGGATGTGTTCAGCCGAACTTGCACCCAGCTTACTTGTTGATTTCTTATGGAAGAGACAGATGTGGACACTTGATGAGGCTATATGAGAGATATCTGGCTCTATCTACTATAACCCACGTGTCTCAAAAATTCCAGGTTCATATGCCAATGGCTGGCTGGGGCCCTGGTGATGTGAGGTCAGCCAGACTGCCAGGGGTAACATGCATGTGTAATCACTCTATAGTATTCATATATTTATCCTTTTTGGCAGTGTGTAAAATATCCAAGGTGTGTCTAGTCAACCATATGTATGTCCATTGTTGAGTATATTCTGGGCATGCATTAAGGTAATTTTGTTGTTTATGATGGCCTGTGTATGTTCTTTCATCTTTTTTTAAATTCTCTGCCTATTTTTCTTGTCATATTTTAGAGGGGACGTTTGGAGATTAAGTTTAGACAGAGTGTTCCGCAACAGGATGTCCATGGCTTGACTACGTGATTTTGGGATCATTCTGAGTTGAAAAGTTCAAATAAACATGGATCTGATCTGCAACAGTTTGTCAAGAAAGTGAGAATGAGCATTTTATTGCATTTGTAACTTTTACATTGTTTCCATTTAATTTTAGGTTACATTGTTGTTATTAAGTTTAGACTACACTCGTCTTTGCATTTTCAATTACTCACATTATTTACATGACTTGAAATGGCCTCCGTGATTTTTGATGTACAATTGAGCCCCTCGTGTAATTGAAGTAACAGCCATCTTCACAGAGTCATGGTCATTTTTGATGTTAGCACTGGAGTCCATTATTCGACTCAGCAGCTCAGCCCTTCTGTTTGACTTGATGGCATACACCAGGGATTTCATGTGACCCCCAGAGAAAGTAGTCCAAAAATGAAAGATCTGGTGATCTTGCTCTGCAAGTAACTGGGCCACCTCGGCCAATCCAACAGTCTGGAAACTTGATTCAGAAATGCAGTGACCTGCCTACCAAAATGAGGTGCGCCATCTTGCTGCAGCCAAATCTCTTGCCTGGTTAGCAGAGGACCGTCTTCCAACATCAATGACAGCTTTTCATGTAGGAAACGCAAGTAGCTGGTGAGATGTCAAGCGGTCTTCAAGCACCAACTACCCTATGTCTTGCCTACGTGTGCCATGTATACAGCTTAGTGAACTAATTTCTCAAACATAGCCAGTGCATAGTGAGTGTGGAGCATTTTCTTGACTAACCGTTTCAGATTGGACCCTCATTTATTTGGACTTTTCGACTCAAAATCATCCCAAGAGCATGTAGTTAAGCTATGGACATCCTGTTGCGGAACACTGGTTTTCTAGGTTTCAAATGGTACTTTAATATATTGGTAGTCTTGAAAATAATCTTCGTGTGGCTTAATAGTTTGCTTTTATTCAATTCCATTCTTTGTATAAGTAAATTCTGGCTATATTTGCTTTGTTGAAATTGGCTTTAGCCCTGTTAGCAGGATGTTGTTTAAACATAACTTCAAGGTGGAAAAGATCCTGCCAACAGTTATCTCACTTTTCTTCTGGTTCATTAAAGATGGCGTAGCCAGGCATATAGCATCTCCTGTGAGTGTGGGATGGTTTTTGTAGGACATACGGGCTGCTCTATGTAAACCAAAGTCAAGGAGCAGAGCAGCACCATCCCCATATCCAGCTCTGTCACCCAGATAAGGTGGATGTGGCTGAACATAGCATCACCCTAGGCCATCATACCTTGCTAAATGACACTTGTGTTATGGCCAAATTATGAGCATTTTCCCTCCTCCTAAAAGCAAGTAAATCCCAAGACTGAAAGACCGAGTTACTGGCTAATTTGTGGAATTTGAGGTATTCTCTGTGATGTGAGTTTAGTTAGTTTTCTTTTGATTTGTTACAACGCATACTCTTTGGATTGTTTGCTAGTATTCTGGAGGAGTGTGCTGCCTAAGATCAGTGAAGCAATGTCGATGAGCTTCATCCTAAGAACAGGAACAGGGAGAAGATAGGTTCTCCCTCAACAGGTCATTGAGGCATGTCTAAGAACAAAAAACACTTCTTTTTATTCACCATTCCTTTCTGGGGTCTGTCAGAGAGGCTACCTTTTCTCTTACCTCTTTACCCAGCCTCCTCTCTGGTGTTTCTGACTGGCAATACTTCCTAGATTATCCTTGACGTAATCCTATATAAATCATCAAGTCACTAACCTCCTCAGTTCATCCCTGAAGATGGAAGCAGGATATTTTTCTGAAATATTAATATGCAACCAAAAGACTATACAGTATAACAATCAAAAAGACCACCCTAAACTCATGTCACCATGAAATTCTCAGGTGAGATAGTGCCCATAATACAGGCGTTATTTTATTAATGATTTGTTGAAGTCTGTTCTGGTAGGTTTCATTATTTATGTATAATGTTTCATAAAATTAGTACAATGGATTCATTGCTTTTAGCACCAAAATTCTGTGGTATAATTAATATATTAGTTTATTTTTAACATAGGTATTCTCTGCTATATACTGAGTGAGTCAAAAGTATGTTTACACACTTTGTGTGTGTGTTCCAGAATCAAAAATAAGAAAAAATGTTTCTGTGAACATGGGGTCGGGTCGCAAGTGTTTCATTTTTGAAATAATAGCCAAAAATAAGTTTCAGTGAATAACTTTGTCAAAGTGAATCCAGCTTCCAGCAAAGGTTTTCAATTAACGTTCTGGCAGGAATTGTTGGCGACATGCTTCCATCACGTCTAAGAGGACCTTCATATCGGTGATTCTTAAGAAGGTACTTGCCACGTCTCTTTGAAGATGTGCCACGGAATACAAAAAGACAAATGTGGTTAATGCACGATGGAGCTCCAGCACACTTCTCCTGTTGCGTCACAGATCAATTCGATGAACAGCACTCTCGGCGATGGATTGGACGCAGTGGCCCAGTAGCATGGCCACCAAGGTCGCCAGACCTGACTCAATTGGACTTTTATCTGTGGGGTCACTTGAAGTCCGTCGTTCATGCAACACCCATAAACAATGAAGACAACCTATGGGAACATGTACAGGCATGCCAGATGATTTGAGGAAACCCTGGTGTGTACGAAGGAATCCGTCAGTCTTGTGTACATCGTGCTCGGGCATGTGTGGAGAATGGAGGAACAACCTTTGAGCATCTGTTATAAAGAAACATCCCTGTCCTTATACTTGGCAATAAATGCATACATTGAAACTTATTTTTGGCTATTATTTTAAAAAAGAAGCATTTGCGACCCCATGTTCATAGGAACATTTTTACTTATTTTTGATCCTGGAACACGCACACGAAGTTTGTAAACATACTTTTGGCTCACTCTGTATAATAAAATAGTCTCTCTTTACAGTCAGTCAACAGGTAACCATTGCTATGGAAATGAAGGCCTCCATATTCATGCCTTGGGCATCAGTGTGCACTGGGAACATTTCTTCCAAAATGATTAACAGTATAGCAGGATGTTGTATATGAGAAAAATATATTCTCATGAATAACAGAGATCATCTATGACGTAGGTCATTGATCCATTCTAAATCAGAAGAATCTTCCCATCTTCTGGGCTATTCCACATTTCCATGACCAGTGGAATGTATTCTGAAATTCTCTGGGTTATTATATTTGGTTTCAGATATAGCACTTGTTTTTGCCACTTATTCATTTGTTGTTGGATACTTTCTTCCAAATCATTACCATGGCCAGTCAAGAGTCCTCAACAGCAGGTACATTAATTTAGTACACTAGTGGTTTGGAACACATTTAGCTGTAATTACTATGTTATCATAAAGAGATATATTTTTGTGACAGGTTAGAAAGTCCAAGCTAAAGGTAATCTCAATTTTTTTAAAGCAACTTACAGGAACTGCTGCACTTTAAAGGGGCAGAAATGAAACATGGACACAGGTCCATGCAAAGCTTAAGTAGGATTTGAGGTTTTCACAGCAGTGAGTCTGAAGATAGCTGTCTTCAGGGTTGTAGCGCCATGTGATATGGTGGTAGTTTACCAATGCTTCAGAGGTCCTTGCTGCCTCTTATCATCGCCCTGATGATGGAGGTAGCAAGGATATAACCCAGAAGACAGCCATCTTCAAGCCAAGCATGCTCAATTTTGTGAAAAGCAATGGTCTATCTTGGTGAATGGGGGTAACCAACCAAATTTCAATGTTCAGATGACTAGATGGAGTGGAGAGAAAATAGCAAAAAAATTTTAACCACGTCTAAAAATTCAAATGTATTTGGTTCCAGAAGGGAGAGATTATGACATTCAAGCTGCCTCAGTGCATCTTGGACCCAGTATACTCCTTGGTGACATTGTAAGAGGTCACACGTATAATCACGTGTTGTGCAAATTCAAATTTACAATTAATAGAAATTTTAACCTGAACAAGAATTGAAGTGTCACTCAACATTATTGGACTGCAGAAGCAGATTTAATTGTTCTTCATGGTAGAAATATAATAACTTGTGTTATTTACTTTGATATAATGATAATTCAAAGTGATCAGCTATGTCTGTTTAAGTGTATTCAGCAGTGACTGGTTCAACATCTGTGACAGTAAACATCTCACTATAGAATTCCCTGCTATAGAATTAATTTCACAAACCCATCATGATCCTTCACCATCACATCAGGAACATTTATTCTGTACTTACTATCCCAGCATCATGCTAGGACCAAACTAACCTACTTAGAGAAAGATCCTGAAGTTAACTGTTCTCACCTAGTTTTATTTCATAACACCTTGAAGTCAAAACTTGTTCCATTTTTTTAAGAATTCAGTCTGTGGTACAAAGAAAATACAGCTCTTCATAATGCTGTTTAAGGACATAATCGCTGTTTAGTGAGAATCATGCAAAATGAAGCCAGAAGGTTTCTGATTCTAGCACATCATAATCTGTAAAACTATTTTCTTGAACTTTTACCATTGTTTAAATTGTAAATAAAATCATTTTTCACAGCCTGGTCCAGGTCTGATGCTAGCTAAACCAGGGGGCTTAACAAATACTAAGAACAACAAATCAAGTTGGCAGAAATTAGGGAGTTGAGAAATATGGAAAGAACTGTAGCTGGAAATTGTGAAGGTAAGAGGTCACTTGGAAGACATAGGTATTGTTTGGATGACAATATTAAAATGTACCTTAAGGAAAAGATTGGAGTTGGCATGGCTTGGGGTATAGACTGGTGGTGGGCTCTTGTGGAAATGAATCTTTGGTTTTCGTAGAAAGCGGATAATATTACTCACTGAGCATAATGAATAAGGACTCTGCTCCATGGAGTTGGTCAATGATATTTAAGCATTTACTTGTAAATGAAATAAAACATACAAAAGAAATAAATGTAAAACTCTTGACAGTTATTTCTTTAGTATGTTTCATGTTTTAAGAGGAATACTGGCACCATTTTTTGAAAATGACACCATAAAACCATAATTCTTCACCTACAAAGTAGTAGGTCATTAGATAAACAACAAAATAGACTAGCCAATTATCACATGGGAGAAACAAAAGATGCATAAGCAATGTTGAGCAGAAAAGCTGATGGAAAGAGACTCCCTTGATTTATCAAGACATATATGGAAGGATATTAAATGGAACTTAGGCAAACAAGTTGCAGCAGTGTGAACTGGTTTAAGGTCCATTGGTGACCCTTTGTGGTG